GATTGGACATGTGTTTTTTTCCACGACGGAGCCATCATTGTCACTGGCCCTGCCCCCTATGCATTTACGCGCAGCGCATCGCGTGGCGGAGGCAGTTGCAGCCGGCTTTGCGCGGCGAGGCTTGCGCCTCAACTTTGCAGCAGGCAGAACATATGTACGTTTCAGTTACGAGGGCGAGGAGCCAGACTGGCCAAGCGTGAGCTCTGGCGGGGTCGCCAGGGACGCTTCGATATCCAGTCCGATCTCCAGGGCACTTTTACGCGACATGCTGCGCGCGCGCGCCCGCGCCTGGGCGCACAACTGGACGAGTTGGGCTCTATTGGGCCCGAGCTGGCTCACAGGGGGGCCCCATTCGCTTCTCGGGAAACCTACTACGACGGCGCATCTTCAGGGCCTCAGTGGATATCTCTCAAGAAGCCTTCCTCCACTTCACCGACGCCCTCCTCTTCTCAGGCGCACTGTTCAATTCAGGTATTTGGCCCCCGCTCACCGACGCACAGCATGCGCACATGCAGCACGTCATGTTGAATACATATCGACAGGTGCCCCACCTACCGCGAAAGGATGCAGATGCAGCCCAGACAGACTTATCCTTGCCATGTTAGAGAGATCTGACCTACGCGCGGTGCTACGTGCACATAGGTTGCGCATACTGGGACGGCTCATGCACTGCGGCACGCCCGCTTTGCGCAGCTTCGTCACACATGTGTGCAGAGTATCCCAAGGCCATCGCACTTCCTGAATGCACGGAATTCTGGAGGACTTGGAGTGGTTACGCACTACATACCATAAGTTTTGTGACATGCCTGAGTCAGGCACATTGTGTGAAGTGGGAGGAGATCATTCCGACATTTTTTGCCAGAGTGGAAGCATGTGCTCAACGGTGCACTCAGACCCCATGCTCAGGCAGCAACTCGAGCGGCACTTGCTCAACAGGCCAAGAGCGATTTCTTTTCGCTAGTCAGGCCAGCAGGCGTGCCAGTTCCGATCGCAGATCACACGCGCCCCATTTACCCCCCCCCCCCCTATTGGTGTTCGATACCAACCTGCAGCGTATGTGGTGTGATTCCTTGGGTGCGTCGGCCAAGAGCACACGTCAGCACATCGTGCGCGTGCACTACAGCGCAGTACATCCCATCTCACGTTTCATGGGGGAGGGAAGCACGTACACGGCATGATCGATGCCATTCGCAGCAAGAAGGCAACTGCGATATCACCTCGCCTTTGATGCTCCACTATGCCAACTAGTGCACATGATGCACGGAGCTGCAGTCGCCCCTGACAGAGCCGAGGAATTGCGCCTCGCAGGCGCGGTCAGTCACGCAGAGGAGATCCTGCCTAGGGCGCCGGAGAGCAGCTTTCCCAGCATCAGTGCAGTGCCCCGAGGACGGTCTATACCCATGCGCCATGCTTGCAGCCGCCACTTTCAGTGCAGCCGAGGCCAGGACTCTCCTACAGCAGGCAGCCCACGAACTCAGCCCCGACACCTCCCCGGCCGATCAGGCCCTCTTCGACGATCCCCCAGAGGAGTCGATCCAGGACCAGCCCCTCTACGCAGATCGGCATTGCAAGTATCGGTCTCACGACTTTCAAGGGGGCGCGGCAGAGTGGGTACCATGCCGCATTCATCGAGCTGAAGTGTTCATCTTGAGTTTGATTTCAGGCAGGAGGAGGGAAGTATATATATATTTATATATATATATATGTACACAGTATTGGCTGGACGGCGTGCACACACTGACAGACTTTCCGGTGTGTGCGTTAAGTGTGAACATTGCAATTAACTCTACCCCGGGGGATCTTACGAAGATTATTACTATCCAACAGTGGGGGGGGCACATTTGGCCATGACGCGTTTGGAACAGGGGGGGGGGGGGGGGGGGGGGCGCCGCGTGAAACATGGAGCGCGGCCAGATGGCTGGACGGGCCCCCCCCCTCTCTACGCGCGCACGAATGGCACTGGGGCGCCCCTAGGGCCACTGACAGACACGCCCAGCAGCGTAGGGTAGGGAATACACAACTACAGCATTTGGTGCATCTGCCGCGTTGCCGCGGGGACTCCGGGGCGGACGGGGCGCCTGCTTTCCCCCCCCTGGCGTGCTCAAGCCCTCGGCAGCTCTCAGTGGGAACCTTCGGAAGCCCTCTCCTCAGCGCCCAACGTTGTCACCGCTGATTTTGGTCCATGCGTGCGCCAGCCTGCTACGCGATGTGCCAGTGAATATGGGCGCGCGCCCGCCAGGCTGCTGGGCTTGCGCATGGGCTGCCTTGCCCGCAGGCTGACCGACAGCCCGAGGAAGGGATGGCGCCACCGCCCCCAAGGGGCTCACCAGATTTTGCGCGGTCAGGAGACTGATGACAAGGGAGGGGCCCCACAGTTCGGAACCCGCACCAAAAAGACGTATCCTTCAGAGACGTGCAATAGGATTGCGGCCTCCATTGCAGCCTCCATGTCCAGGGCATATACAAGTTCCAACGACGCAGATGTCGCGTCCGACCCCGACCCAGCCCTCATTGCAGACCTTCTACAGTTCTTTATCAAGCATGTAGATAGTTAGTTTGCTCCCGCCCCCGACTACGTACACAAAAATTGGAAGCAGGGGGTCTCGCGCGCTGATCTGGAGACCCATATATGTCTCAAGGATCCAGACCCAGATGACAGCCTCCAGGGAACACAGCATGGGCCTCCGACTCCGGCTGCATGTGGGCGCGGTCCGATTCCAGATTCTGAGCCGAGAGAATTCGTGCCACCTGGATCAGATGAGGAGTTTGAAGTTGATGGTGTTCTCGACTTCCCTCCCCCTCCTGCCTCTCCCCTGCCGCCGTCGCCGCCGCCACCTCCCCCGCCCCGCCTCGCCCCCAAGCATCTTGCCCGCGTCGCGGCCTATCGCTCCGAGGCGCGCCTCAGGCGCGAGGCCACGAGGGCCGCGGCGCACAAGAGGAGAGCGCCATGGACGGGGTCCCTCTCCTTTGCTTTTCGAGGCGGGCCCCCCCGCCGCCGCCCCCGCCGCCGCCTTCGGCCTTCCCACTACAGATCACGAGGCCTAGGCGGGCGACCCGCTTGACGACGAGAGCTCGCGACTTCCGCCGCGTCTGCGTCCCACCACTCCTCGCCCCTCTTCTGCCTCCTCCTGGCTCTCCTTCTTCTTTCGTTTCCATCCACTGTCCTTTAAAAAGTGCGTTCACGCCGTCGCCCCCCCAGACGTTTCGGCAGGGCGGGCCAGACGTTTCGCTTGAGGGTTTCTTCGTTTGAAGTTTTCCGGAACTAGAATTCGCAACACCTTCACAGATTGGAGGCGGGCCGTTTTCAACATGTGGCTCTCGCCTTAGCGTTGCGCGCACTCCTCGCAAGCACTCGCAACGACCCCAAGGAGGGGCGGTGCCCCCCGGGCTCTCGTCTTCGTGCCGCGCACGTTCTCCGTCGAAGTTTGCACCAGCTTCAAGGAGGTAGGGGTGATTCGCACAATGGTGCCATCGCCTTAGCGCTGCACGCATTTGTTTGGACAGTTTGCGACATGGTCAATGATGGAGGTTGGTTCCGTTTCAACTTTGGGCTCTAGCATCAGCGTCGCGCGCATTCGTGTAAGGCATTGCTGCAGCTTCAGAGAGGATGGGGACGTTTTCAGAATGGGGCTCTCCCCCAAGCGCCGCGCACATTCGTTGTAAAAACTAGCAGCAACTTCAGGGATGGAGTGGGGTGGTTTTCGCATGCTTTCGAATATGGGCTCTCACATTCGCCCCGCGCAAATTCGTTGTAAAAACATGCTGTAGGTTTAAGGGTGGGGGGCGGTTCTTAATGAATCGCTTCGCTCACTCCGCCGGCCCATTTCGCATGAGTGAGCCTCTTGGGGCCGCTGGGGGGCCTCTTCGGCGTCGCTTGGGGGCCTCCTGAGGGCCTCTTGGGGGCTTTGGGGGCTTTTCAGGGGCCTCTTGAGGCCTCCTGGGGGCTTCTTAAGGCCGAGGGCTCGAAGTTTTGTTTTGTGTTCCCCCTTTGGGGCATCGCTTGGGGCCCTCTTGGGCCCCTCTTGGGCCGTCTTGGATGCCTCAGGGGCCGTCTTGGAGCCCTCTTGGGCCATCTTGGGGCCTTCTTGGGAGTTTCTTGGGCCCTCTTGGGGCGATCTTGGGGGCCTCTTGGGCCGTCTTGGGGCGTCGGGAAACCGAAAAGATGGACACGCCAAAATCTGCCCAAAACCAACAGAAAAGTAATGCATTTTGCCTCTTGGGGCCCTCTGGGGAGTGCTCTTGGAGGCCTCTTGGGGCGTCTGGGGGCCATCTTGGGCGTCTTGGAACGATCGTGTGGCATCTCGGAGCACTCTTGAACCATCTTGGAGGGCTCTTGGCGGCCTCGTGGCCCTTCTAGGGGCTCTCTGGAGGGCCACGGGGGCGGCGCCCAGGAGGAAAACCATCTCTGACCCGAGTCTGCCGGGGATCGCCCGGGGTACTTTTCGTCCAGGGACCCCCATGGGCCGCCCCACGCGCGCGAAGTAGAAGTATCATTTAGCAGTTACCGGAGATCTTAGCACGCCTCTGGCCCGTTGGGCCGGCGAATTCAACGTAGGGTTCCCCTTGTAGTGCCGCGCGTGTTCGTCTTATGCATTTGCAACAAGAGCGATGGTGGAGCGCACGGCTTTGTCAACATTGGGTTCTCGAGATAGCGCCGCGCACATTCGTTTCCAAAGCTTGCAACAGCTAGAATGAGGATTCAGGGCGGCTCTTGTTCAAACTGGTGTTCTCGCGCAGGCCATCTCCATCTCCAGGCCGCGAGCTGTCAACACGTGTAGCTCTGCACGGGTCTAATGTTGTTATTTCTCGAAATGGACCTCTCGCTTGAGATGTTCTCGAAGATACACGGATGTTGTGCAACAGTTGCAAGAAGCTCGAAGGGGGATATCGTTGGGACTCTGGTAGAATGTCATGATTGCCGTTCCTCATAGCCCTGGCTACGCACCAGACGGATGCACGCTGGCAGTTCCTTCGGAGCACGGGGCGCTCTCCAAGACGGCAGGTCCAGCGCTGGTCTTTCAAGGGGGGCGCTTCCTGTAGTGAGAAGGGGGGTTCGCAGGGACGCTTGCGCAGGGGACTTGGGGCTGTAGGTATGTACTGCACCATCGCTAATGCATCTTTGGTTTACGCAGATCCCCCCTCGTTCGTCCTCATGATCCACGCGCGAGGGCTTGAGGGCACGAGGATTCAGCAGGCTCGCGGCGGTACCTTACTTCGGCCATTCAGGACGTCGCGGCAGCACCCTCAGGCGCCGCGTGCCCGCATGGGCGGCGGGGCGGGGGATGTCGATCGCCGGCCGTTGGCCCCGCGGGGGTGGGTTGGCGTCACCGCTTCGCGGTTGCACTGCCGAGATCGCCCAATTGTTGATGTCCGCCCCTTCCCCATCGGAGACCTCGTAGAATCCTCATACTCCCACCCTCCTCCCCCTCCCCGCCCGCCTCCTTCCTCCCTCCTTCCTCCCTCCTCTCCTCCCTCCTCTCCTCTTCCTCTTCTTCCTCTTCTTCTTCCCCGCCCGCCTTTTCCCTCCCTTCTTCCTCTGCCAGTACTCGGCTTGCCGAAACGTCGGCCTCACGCCACGATGGCTCCACGAATCTACCCCAGGCGCCAGCGGAGGCCAGCAAGGGGGTCTCGCCGTCTCGCCGAGCTGCGGCCTCCAGGCCTCACTCAGGGGGGGGGGGCGAGGCGCGCCCAGAAACCTCGGCCCTCCAACGTCGAAGGTCGATTTTCCTCTCTCCTCCTCGCTCCTCGCTCTTCCTCGCTCCTCCTCCTCGCTCCTCCTCCTTCTCGTCCTCCTCCTCCTCCTCCTCCTCCTGTTCAGCCGGGAACGGCGGGGCATTTTTGTTTACATACCGTTCTCCGAGCTGCTTCTTGATCGTGAGGACAGCAAGAGAATGGTTCCCCAGAGGGGTCAACAAAAATCTGTTCATAGAAACGGCTTTGGCAGTCCAGGGATCCGAGGGACGGTCGGGCGCGGTTCGAGAACGGTTCGGATCTGGTAAACACAATGATTTGGACTTGGCCCCACCCACCAGGGAAAACAAACATTGTAAAACATCAGCGCCGGACACGTTTTAAAAAGACGTCGGGAATGGTGATGATGAGCAGCGTTCACGGTAAACAGAAGGCCCTGCCGTCTCCAGGGCCCACGAAGGGTGGGCACCGTAGACAGCGGAGCGGCAGTGCATCCCTCTGCTCTCCTCGAGCGCGGCGGGGAGGACCAGGAGGAGGAGGAGAAGGAGGAGGAGGCGGCGGATGCCACGGAGGAGGAGATGATGGAGGAGGAGGAGGAGGAAGAGGAGGAGGAGGAGGAGGAGGAGGAGGGAGGAGGAGGAGAGGAGGAGGAGATGGAGGAGGAAGAGGGGGCGGATGACGCAGAGAAGGGAGGCGTAGTGTGGTCTAGGAAGGGGGGAGGAGCTCGCTTGGGGGCGGGCCAAGGGGGAGGGAGGGAGGGGGGTGGGGGGGGGGAAAGGCGAGTCTCGCACGGGCGTCTGGGGACACCGAGTTTCAATCCCGAGAGGACTTCGCGGCGGCCGTGCGGTTCGCACCTCAAGACCACCGAACAGCTGTGCCCAGGCCGTCAGCGCTCAAACGCAGGGGTCAGGTGCGCCGGGCCTCCAGGGGCCAGGTGCGCCGGATCGCGTACGTCGACGGGCTCACCAGAGGGGACGAGAAGGGCCCAGGGTTGGAGGTCAAGTTGGACGTCTACTGCCACCGCGTCACCCCCGAGCTTTGGTTCTCAGCGCAGCCCTCTTCCACTGCGTTTCCCGTCCTCTCTCTCCAAGTCGTCATCATCTACCTCTTTCTTAAATTTCTTGGCATCCTTCTTTTCCCTCCCTCTGCTAATCATTCGGTCAGGGACTTTGGCTTAGCGTGTCGCGCCGCCAGTTCTGGCACACCAGGTTACGGTGCGACACGCTGTCCACATCCCAGTCCCCAGGCGTCAACGTCCCGAGCTTTTTCGAAGATTCCCGACCCGCGGAGCGGAGCGACACGCTATCCGCCCGCAGGACATAGCGTGCCGCCAGGGCCGCCGCGGCGACACGTTAAACAAAGCTTCCCGACCGTACCTCTTTCGTTCCTTGACATCTTTCTTTCCCTTCCCAGCGATAGTTATTGGTCGTCCTTCCACCTGTGACCCTTCCAGGGTCCATTGCGATCAGGTCGATCGGATTCGATGTCGGCTCTGGCCTGCCCGACCCGATTCGACTCTGATGTCCCAGCGATCCGATGCGGCCCGATGCCCGCATGGCGTCGTCGTGCATCTTGGCGCGGCCGATCCGTTTCGGTTTCGATTCCGTGCCGATGCGTCCCGATCAAACGCACAAGTCGATTCGACCCGCCTTTCCGATTCGATGCTGGCTGCTCCTGCCATTATCTTCTTCTCTCCATCCAAGTCTACGGGATCTTGAATGTTGGGGGGACCTGGTACTGGTACTGGCGGAAAGGGGTATGGGCCGAAAAGGCCGCCCTTCGTCTCCCCAGCACGACATGGAGTCGGGAACTCTGGCTTAACGTGTCGCGCCGCCAGTTCTGTCGTTCTGCCCCACCACGCTATGGTGCGACACGCTATCCACATCCCGGTCCCCAGGCGTCAACGTCCCGAGCTTTTCCTATGATTTTCGCCCCGCGGAGCGGAGCGATACGCTATCCGCTTGCAGGACAGCGTGTCGCTGGGGCCGCCGCGGCGACGTGCTAAGCAACCGTTCCCGATCGCAGGACGCGTTCGACATCGTCTCGGAGTGTGACGAAGGAACAGCGCGCACACACACACATTACACACACACCTATACAGGGGGACGGAGGGGGCTATGGGAGCGTGTTGTCGGATGGGGGCTCCCGCTCGATCTGGAGCATCCCCTGGTGTTCGACAACCCGCGCCCATACCCATAGCCAGTCCTCCTCCCTCCGACCCCCGAATTGGGTATGGGTGCGTGCTGTTCGCTCGTCAGCATGACGGTGTCCAGCTCTCGCCGATGGCTCGGCTGGCTGGTTCGGAGCGAGCAGCTGACGCGGCATCATGCTGCTGTTTCCTCACCTCCTCGGGCCAGGGTCGGCGGGGCCTGGCCGCGGGGGTCCGCCGACGCGTCGTGATCCCGAGAGGAAACAGGGGCATTCAGCTCGGAATCCAAGTATGCTTGGAGAGCCTGGGGCCCCGGGGCCCCCTTTCCCTTCCCCCCTCCTCGTTCGCATTCCTCTCCCGCATCCACTCTTCCAGCCCTCTCGTTCGGCTCTCGCAGTTGCCACCCTCTGTGGGCTCGCCTCGGAGACGGCCGAACCCAAAGATTCGCGTAGCTCCGATCGGCGCCAGGGGAGGGCAGCCAGAGAGTTGGTCCCCTTGCCTCCCACTCCCGCCGTTTTCCAATGGGGCGATTCCGATAGGCTCGCGCCACCAAGGGTGGACGCAGATGGGTCGCGGCTCGCTTCTGCGCGCCAGTCCAGGCTGCGGGCGGATGAGAGGAGGGAGCCAACTGAAGCGTCCGAGAGACACAGGGGGGAAGATGAGACGAGGGCGAGGGGGACAGAGAAGGCGTGAAGGTGGAAGGGGGGGTCCCCGCCCAGGGCCCAAGGATGGCGCTTGGCCGGGGCTGAGCAGACGAGGCGTTGCGACTCCTCTTGGGGCACGGGCTGAGCGTCCGCCCCACGGGCTTCCGGCGCGGAGCACGCAAAGTCCGCGCATGCAAGTGTCATATCGGTTCGGACGGAAGGGGACAGGGAACGGGGGGGGGGGACGACATCTGCTGCATGCAACTAGTTTCGGCCCCGCCGCTGGGCGCATGATTCCCGAATATTTCCTTCATCACCCCTTCTTCCGTCCGGCCCGGTCAATGGGTATTTCATCAGAGTGAGGGGGCCGAACGGTCATTCATGGTCCCTGGGTGCGTGGCTGAAGTGAGAATCCGTGGTGAGGATCATGCTTGTTGCGTTGTTTCTGAATTCTCATTTCTGAAGAATAATTAGTGTTGATCCCCCCTCACCTGTGCATATTGTTTTTTCTCAGTCAAAGTGTGCCCCTCGACGCTCGCACCTGTTTTTTTTGACTGGGAATGTCTTCCTGGTCAAACTGGGCCCCTGGCCCCCCAGACGACAACAACAACGGCTCCCGCCTGAGATTTCCTCAAAATTTACTCAGGACCCCCCCCCTCCTGTTTGAGACTTCTCCAAATTTACTCAGGCACAGCGCTCCCGCTTGAGACTTCCTCACAATGTAGTCCGAGTCAAACTGCGTTGTTGCTCCCCCGGACTACAACAATAACAGCTCCCCTCCCACCTGAGACTTCCTCCAACTTTCCTCAGGACCCCCGCTCCCGCCCAATTTACTCAGGATCGGCGCTCACCGCCAAAACCGGCCCACCAACAACAACAATGCTCCCGCTCGAGACTTCTCCTTTTTTTCTTTGGGTTGGTGTTTTTGTTCGCCGCCGAAAGCCGGCGTCCTAACAAAACCATCGCTCCCGCTCGAGATTTCTTCCCGTTTTACCTCGGAGTGGCGCGCTAGTCTTTCTCTCATCGGTGCCGCCCCCAGCAAAAACAGTGTTCCCGCTCGAGCTTTCCCCCCTTTTTTACTCAAGGCGGTGCTCTTCCTCGCCGAAAACCGCCGCCCCGACAAAACCAGCGCTCCCGCCCGAGACTTACTTCCGTTTTACGCTGGGCTGGCGCCCAACTCTCTTTGGAATTGGCGCCGCCCCCAGCAAGAACAACGCTCCCGCTCGAGGCTTCCTCCCTTTTTCCTGAATGCGGTTCTGTTCCTCGCCGCCGGCAACCACAGTCCCGACAAAACCACGGCTCCCGTTCGGTGCTTCCCCCCTTCTTACTTAAGGCGGTGTTCCTCCTTGCCGCCGAGAATTGCCGCCCCGACAAACCAGCGCTCCCGCCCGAGAATTCCTTCCGTTTCACGCTGGACTAGTGCCCGACTCTCTTTTGAATTGGCGCCGTTCCCAGCAAGAACAATGGTCCCGCTCGAGATGTCCTTTCTTTTTCCTTGGGACGGGGCTGTTCCTCGCCGCCGACAGCCCCCGTCCCGACAAAACCACGGTTCCCACTCGATGCTTCCGCCTTTCTTCTTTTCTTACTTAAGGCGGTGCTCTTCCTCGCCGCCGAAAGCCGCCGTCCCAGCAAAACCAGCGTTCCCGCTCCTGAGACTTCGTTTTGTTTTACGCTGGACTAGCGCCCTACTCTCTTCAGCATTGGTGCCGCTCCCAGCAACAACAGCAGCCCTGCTCGAGACCTCCTCCCTTTCTATTCAGGGCCAGGTCCCCACCAAGGCGATCCTGTCGTTCGATAATTCCTTGTGCTTTACCCTGCGCTGGGGTTCCACTGGCGGTCTCGCATTGGCGCAGCAAGGCGCGGGCATGTGTTTTCTAGGCGGCATATGTTGAAAATCCATAAGGGCTTCGCCCCCTGCCGCCGGCCTCCTCTCTCGGAGAATGGGCCATGGAAGAGCGAAGTCATGAGGATTTGGCTTCACCGTGAAGCAGCGTCGGAACTTCATGCGAAGACGATGGGTAATTGGCAAGACGAATGGAGATTGCGAGTCTATTGTTGTATTCACAGTTGTGTGAATGTCAAAGAAGTGGCAAATCCTGCGTGTTTTTGGACCCTGACCCTACGGATCTGCGTGAGGGGTGCCACCGAATTTCTGAAATGTGGCAAATCCTTTTTTGCTGTTGCACCCTGACCCCGCCGATCTGCGTGAGGGGTGCCACCGAATGTTGGACATGTAGGAAATCCTGTGTGTTTTTGCACCCTGACCCCGCCGATCTGCGTGAGGGGTGCCACCGAATGTCAGAAATGTAGGAAATCCTGTGTGTGTTTTTGCACCCTGACCCCGCCGATCTGCGTGAGGGGTGCCACCGACTGTTAGAAATGTAGCAAATCATGTGTGTTTTTGCACCCTGACCCTGCCTATCTGCGTGAGGGGTGCCACTGAGTGTTAGAAATGTGGCGAAGCTGCTGTGTTTTCACATCCTGACCCCGCCGATCTGCGTGAAGGTTGTCACCGGTTTTAGAAATGTAGCACATCTTCTGTGTTTTTGGACCCTGACCCCGCCGATCTGCGTGAGGGGTGCCACCGAATGTCAGAAATGTGGCAAATCCCTTGTGTTTTTGCACCCTGACCCTGCCTATCTGCGTGAGGGGTGCCACCGAATGTCAGAACTGTAGCAAATCCTGAATGTTTTTGCACCCTGACCCTGCCTATCTGCGTGAGGGGTGCCACCGAATGTCAGAAATGTGGCAAATCCTGTGTGTGTTTTTGCACCCTGACCCTGCCTATCTGCGTGAGGGGTGCCACCGAATGTCAGAAATGTAGGAAATCCTGTGTGTGTGTGTGTGTGTGTGTGTGTTTTTGCACCCTCTGACCCCGCCGATCTGCGTGAGGGGTGCCACCGAATGTTGGAAATGTAGCAAATCCTGTGTGTGTTTTTGCACCCTGACCCTGCCTATCTGCGTGAGGGGTGCCACCGAATGTCAGAAATGTAGGAAATCCTGTGTGTGTTTTTGCACCCTCTGACCCCGCCGATCTGCGTGAGGGGTGCCACCGAATGTCAGAAATGTGGCAAATCCTGTGTGTGTTTTTGCACCCTGACCCTGCCTATCTGCGTGAGGGGTGCCACCGAATGTCAAACATGTGGCACATCCTGTGTGTGTTTTTGGACCCTGAACCAGCCGACCCACCCCAGCAATTCAGACAATACGATTTCTCCGTGGAAAAAATATCCGTTTTGGGCCTCCCCCCCTCGCGCGGTCCATCAACAAGGAACAGTAAGCAGCAAGAAGTCAACAAGGAACAGTAAACAGCAAGAAGCAGAACTGTAACAGTGGAAACTGGAAGCTGCAACTGGTACAGGAAACTGCGAGCCTCGGGCCTACATCCTGGTGGCCCCACAAGGGGCCGGCGGATTCCTCGGAGGAGGTGTTTGCAAGACCTCATTGGGTGGGAGATCTGGGAATGGGAATAACGGACACCGCTATAGAACAAGAGTTCCCCATGATGTGGATGGTTATCATGATGGTAGCATGCTTCGTGTAGAAACATCGCGCGTGAGGGTAACATGATTGTTGATGTTGTTGGTGTTGTTGGTGTTGTTGGTGTTGTTGTTGGTGGTTGTTGGTGCTGTTTTTTGTTTGGTGTAATTGTTGTTGGTGTTGTTGTTGTTGTTGTTGTTGTTGTTGTTGTTGTTGTTGTTGTTGTTGTTATCATTGTTTGTTGTCGTCGTCACCCCCGCGACCCACCCGCGACCCACCCGCGACCCACCCCGCGACCCACCCCGCGACCCACCCCGCGACCCACCCGCGACCCACCCCGCGACCCACCCGCAATCCACCCCGCGACCCACCCGCAACCCACCCGCGACCCACCCGCGACCCACCCCGCGACCCACCCGCGACCCACCCCACGACCCATCCGCGATCCACCCGCGACCCACCCGCGACCCACTTGCGACCCACCCGCGACCCTCCCCGCGACCCACCCGCGACCCACCCGCGATTAACCCCCGCGACCCACGCGCGACCGATCCACATTGGTTTGAAAAAATCAGCACCTGCGGCGGGCTCGTTGTATAATGTGTGAAACTTTGGCTCCTGCGGCGGGCTTCTCCAGAGTCTCGTAGACTTTCGACGTCCCCACCGCCCCCTCACTCTGATCCGCATCTGCAGGGTGCTATCTGGTCGAACAGTCGCCACTGAGAGTTGGCTTCGGACCCGTACGCAGCAAGAAGCTCATCTGTCCTTGTGTATTTTACTGCCCTGAGGTTCCAGCAGCCTGGCGTGCGGGTGAATTGCGACAGGTGCGACCGCTGGTGGCCCCAGTCTGGCGGCATGATGGCAGGCCCCCACGAAGGGTAGGAGGGTTTGAGATGGGGGAAGGACAAAAAGGAGGAGACCGAGGGCGTTCTTGCGGGGGGTTGTCGTCGGCTCAACAAGCAGTGTGGTAGAGGCAAGTCGTCTCGCATGCGTGCTCAGATGCCCGCGTACATCTCCAGAGTAAAGAGGGCTGTGCACAAGGGATCACATGCGCTGGTCTTCAGCGAAAATGCTTAAATGAGGGACACTCGTGAAGGGCGGGAACACGTTGCGAGCCAGACAAGGAAGTGCATACAGTACAGGTCTCGCTGTTTAATCTGGTGAAGTCTCTGAGAGATAGCGCTCATCGCGCACTACCGTCGCACCCCGTGCTTGAGCATCCGGAGGCCCCGAAAGCCACATGCAGACGGATGCCGCGCTAGACCCTCAATCTGCGCTCAAAGTCACGCAGCCCCAGGTAGGATTACGAAAGCAACATGTCACTACGTGTATGCCACAGTTTCTGGATGGACATGATGGCATTTTGGCCAACCCAAGCCGCCGCAAGATGCACGCATTGGAAGCGACAAGGCTCAACAGCGAATGCAAGCTCAATGTGAGAACGCATGCGGCAGACCGACAATTACGGGTGCAACCCCTTGCAGAGTATTTACAACCAAGGGGTAAATATGTTAGCCAGCGTGAACGATGGGATCAATCAGTCGTGACCCTTGGGAGAGCGACGACGCGTGCGTTGGGCACTCCATCGCACTCTGGTTGAGTTACTCTGGCCTCCCCCTCCCTCTGGTCAGGGTAATCGTCCTCGGGGCCGCTTGATCCCACACCCTGCAGGCGCTCCAGGGGGCTCGCAGTTCGCTCAGAGCCAGTTCTTGTGCAACGAGTGCGCGGCGATCTCGGAGCAGTGAGCGAGCCCAGGGCAGCAAGCGGTTGCTTGCTTGCCCTGCGCGCAGTCTGGGCTCGAAGCCAAGGCCTGCTCCAGGGAGGTGTCATTACAGCCGGGTGCCATCGTCCTCCTCTGCCTCGCCCCTCCTCGTCCTCCTCTTACTCATCCCCCTCTTCTCCGTCGCACCCTCCGACCCCGCCCCTCCGATCTCCCAAGCGCCGGCCGCTTTTCTTTCTGCGCCCTCGGTTCACTCGCCGCCTGCCCGTGGTGCCGCTGCCGCCCGCCACGCATCAGCGACCCGACTCATCTCACGCCAACAGCTCTTCGTGCAACGCCGACGCGGGCCAGATCCTGCCGCCCCTCTCTGCCAGCCAGATCCCGCCGCCGCTCAACAGCCAGTGCCAGCATGCGTGGGCGAGCATGATCGCGTGCCCAGCCAGGTATCTTTCGGATTGCAGTCAGCCAGAGCTTGCCTTCGCCAGCCGCCTGTGCCAGCTCATGCTATCATGCTGGCCCGTCTCTGCCACATGGTCACAGCACGCAGCCGCGCAGCCCCTCGGCGTCCTCCCCTGCTCTTTCATGCGCAGGGGTGCTCGAGCGGCCAGCCGCCGCCAGGAGACGATGCCCTGCCAGCCGCTGCCAGCAGACTTTGCCAGCTGACGCTACCAGGTGGCGTTGCCCGCCAGCCCAGCAAACATTGCCAGCAGTCGTTTCTGGCCAGCTGTTGCCACAAGTCGCTTCGTACAGCGCTAGCCAGCAGTACTCAGCAGACGTTTCCCAGAGTGCCCGCGTGTCCAGGACGTTTCCCAAAACGCCCGCGTGTCCAGCCAGCTCTCACTCCCTCACCAGCTGTAGGCCCGCTGCTAGTTTAGGACCAACACTTGCCGTCCGGTTGAGTCATCCTCCGCTAGCCCTGCTGAGCCAGCTTGTGAAAGCACGCGTCAACACAGCCCCTCGGCATCCTCCGCCGCGCCGGGCCCGGGGATCCTGCCTTAACGACCCTTCCTCTAGAGAGAAGGCTTCGAGCAGAGTGTTTCCCTGGCGGTGCCTGTGGCTAGCTTGACCCTCGACCTCCGATGCTCCCTCCTCCTTCGCCGCTTCTCCCAAGGCGAGGACGATCAGAAGAAGATTGCGAGGAAGTCTTGCCGAAGAAAGCAGAGCCACCAATGGCATCGCACGCGACGAACAGTTTTCTCGACCCCTGAGCCTGTAAGCCTCCCCATTCAGCCTGGGGGCTGGGTCATAGGCTACAAGCTTGCAGACGTCATGCCCATTCCCAGCACCGCTGCTCCGGCTTCAACCTCTTCCCCCTCTACCTTTGCGACCTCTGCATCCGCCACAGCCACAGGGAAGGGAGGACACAGCGCTTAACAGAGCATATTCTGGCGCACCGCCTCAGAATGGTGGAATCGGAAGAAAGACCCCTTTCCGCCCGCAGACGTCGTGCTCACATGGCGTACAGGACTTGTCGGTCCGTCCGCGCAGTAAGCACGACATAACTACACGAGTTGAAGCAATTAAGCTGGGCCGCCCCTTCGCAGGCACGAGGCGATGCCTTCCGACGTAGGGTAACTATGCTCAGAGTGCTGGGTTTTCCGTAGCCAGCCAGTGCCAGCGGAGTTCCCGCAGCCTCTCTCCGATCTTCGAGTCCTCCTCTGTCTCCTGCTCCTCATCGGAGTCGTCCTCGGCCGTCTACTCGGACACTGTCATAGAGTTCACCGGCCCAGACGTAAGAGCAACGGCCGACGTCTAGAGCGAACGGTATTGGCGAAACTCTTGACACAATGGTGCGAGGTGTCAGTGTTGTGCATCGGGCGGAAATTATCATGACACATTTCCCGAGGATCGACGAGCACATGGAGAGGTGATCATCCTCTGGCATGCCCACAAATGTGAAGGCCATTGTGGTAGAGTCGATTCGCCCGATATTGCGCGCATTGCCGCTATCAAAGCCAGATGGGTTGGACGGTCTGTGCTGGGCTGCCCCATCGATGGAGCGATCCGCCAGCCAGGGTTTTGTTGACGATGGCACGTGACAGTGCTCTTCGAAGCGGCAACGGTCTCATTTGACCGGCTGCTCGTGCACGCAGGTTGACGCGCATGTCCGACTGCAGCGATATGCTCAGCCCGACGCCAGCCTACGCTCTATACCAGCGCCGGCCTCCCTGATCGGCAGCCTGCACCGCCAGTTAGTTCTGGTCAGCTCGCCATTTGCCAGCGCCAGCCGTGCGCGTCATTGCAGGCCATACCTTTTGGCGCCGCCTTGCCGCTCCGTAGAGCGGATGCTAGATGGAGGGAGGCCTGCGAGCTCGGCCTGTGCTACTATTGATCCCCGCATGGCGAGTCTCCGCGGGGTAGCCTTCCCCTTAGGGGGCCCGCACCCACTCGCGTGATGGCTTGCTCGCGCGCCCTTGTGTCTACGGCTACGTTCGCATTGTTGGTTGACCTGTTAATTCATATTTCTCTCGGCGCGGTGTTCCTTATAGGCAGGGGCCGGGGGCCGGCCTCGGCTACAGTTTTTTTGTTTGGTAGCTTTACTTGCTCACCAGCGTAATGATTTCACCACCTCGTAGATGTCCTGGTTTGTCAAGAATCAAAGCCGCATCACATCGCAGTGCAGCGGCTTGCCTCATGTATCAGGTGCCACAGTGTCTCTCAGATGCTAGGGTCTGCCAAGGCCACAGCATCTCGCAGTTCAGCCCGCCCGTGAGAGGCCAGGCAACTAGGAAGGCGGAACCAGTAGCGAGGCAGAGTCTCCCCAGAATGGGATACCCTGCCGTCTTTGGTTGACATGTTTTCAAAGTCATGCATTTGTGTTCTGCCCGCTTTGTCCATGTAGCCTCGAGGGCAGGCGCGGAATCTCGCAGGCACCAGGCGCGGAATCTGTTTTACGCGTGTGTTATCCCACCTTGTTTACTGATCATTTCCACCTCTGCCTCTCCTTCTCCCTCTCTCTCTCTCTATCCACCCTGCATGGTGCACAGCAGTTTTCGCAGTATTGGCGCTCGGGCTGTCGGTTGTGTGGGCTAGAATGCTGTCGGCCGTGGCGGCTGACGCCGTCGCCCAAGCTTAGTTGCTTGGGATCGCTTAGCACCGCTTGCCAGGCTGGCCCCAGGGCTACCCCGATAAAGGGAGGCCCGCGCCGCGCCCCTGCGACGGGCTCCCGTCTCTCTGCTCTCTGACGGGTTTCCTCGGAGTTCCGCTCGCAGGGCCGTCCCACAGAGCAAACATGCCCGCCGCCCAGAGGCACGCATCTAGCAGTGTTCGTACAGAGTCCAGACATTAAATATTCGCTACTCTCCGTCATCGTTCTCCCTCCCACTCCTCCATAGTACCACTCGCTCATCCTTGTCCTCCTCGTCTTCCAGTTCCCTCACACTGCTCTGCTCATGCTTCGCTTGCTTCACTCTCCCTGGATTGATTCCTGGCCAGTCCCTTCTCCTTGGCCATCGCTCATCCTCGTCATCCCTTTCTTTCTTTATCTATCGGAGTGTACCGTGTTTCGATTGGTGTCCGTTTGTCGGCCGTTTTTTATCTCCCTCTCCTTCACGCCTTTTATCTCTATGTACACATACATACAAACATGCATACATACATGCATGCATACATACACGTATGCGCAAACATTCGCACATGTGTATTCCTATATATATATATATATGTATATATGTGGCATCTCCCCGAGAAGATTATGCCCCTAGTCCCTCTGCGTATGAGCGGCTCAGCCGTCCTTGGACTCCGTAGACATCTTGGCTCAAGGCGCCCCCTCCCCTGGCCAGGGACTGGGGCGCCGTTGGGCTGGGCGTCTTTGTCCTCCCAGACCACGCCTGCTGGCGGCACCTTCGGTGCTGGTGCGCCAGCAAGAGATGCAGGCCGGGGTAGGGCCTGGGGCCCCGGAGTGCGCGTGATCGTCATGGACAAGCGCCCCGGGGCAGCCACTGCTGCGCGCGCTCCTGGGCTCAGGTTCGACTCAGAGCTGACGCTGGACGCGCTGGCAGGGCTAGAGCTGACGCAGGCCGATCTGCTACGGGTCGGGGTCCTCGAAGCGGGCGGAGCCTCACAGGGCTCGGTGGACATCCGCGTGGAGGGGTATCGGACTCTCGTGGATGGTGGGCTCACGATCGAGTTCGTGAGGTTGGGCGCGTCGGACCCATACTTCGAGTGGTACGCCCGCGCGCGAGGCGCCGCACGTGTGCGCCAGGCCTACGCGCTCGTGCAGCTCCCAGGGCCCCGACGGCTGGGCGGTCGAGCACATGAACCACATCCAGCCGATCGACGAGGACGAGGCCCGCGCGCTGCAGGAGCGCTGGGGCTGCGAGGAGCTGCCCGCGGTCGAGGCGGCGGCAGTTCCGTCCGCCGCCGTCGCAGGCCCGGCTGGGGGCGAGGGCGAGCCAGAGGGCGCCCGCCGCAGTCTAGCACAGAGGCTGGCGGCGGCGGCCCAGCGGCCCCCAGCCGGTTGTCGGGTGCCCCGACGACGGCGAGGAGGGCGAGGAGATTGCGCCATCGCGAGGATACGTCGCTGCAACAACGGTCATGTTGCAGTATAGGTAAGCCGATTCATCTTTATGTGTATTTCTCTTATGTACATTGATACACACATTTGAGTATGTTTACATATTTATATGTGTATACATATAAATATGTACATATATATATATATATATATATTTGCTCTTCCTCCTCCCAAAACCCTTTCCATGATGAGTAACTGCTTCCTGTCGCAACCCCAGACGTGTCGGTAGTGCGGGCCAGGCGTTTCGCTGGAGATTGTCTCACCATTCCTGACCCTGAAGCTTGAAGTTTGCAACAGCTTCGCGACTAGAGGGTTTGCAGTTTGAAAAATGCGCTTATCGCCTAAGCGCCGCGCGCGATCGTCTTGATTGTAACTGTTCCACCCATGGAAAGCGGCCCGTTTTCAACACGTGGTTATCGCTTCAGCGTCGTGGACATTCGTTTTGAAGGAAAGTAACATCACGGGTGGAGGGCCTGTCGTTTTCGATATGTGGTTCTCGCTTTAGGGCTGCGCACATTTGCCTTAAAAGGGGTTTGCAGCTGTTTCGCGTGTGGAAGGCGGTTCCGTATCAAAATCTTGTTTTCGTTTTGGCATCGCATACGGTCGTCTCAATTGTATGCTGCAAGATTTAACGATTTGTATGGGTGAAGTCCCAGAATTGGTGTTCTGGCACGAGTCGGGATTGTCAGGACGCAACAGTCGCGTTGTTTCGCTGTGTTGCAGTCCCAGGAGTGGTGTCCTGGCACAACCCATGGTTGTCAAGGCGCAGCGGTCACTTCGGTTCGCGGCGCTGAAGTCCCAGTAACGGTGTTTCTTGCACGATTGAGGATTCTCAAACAGTTGTCTTTCAACCAGGCATTTCCCGCAGTGAAGAGAATTGATTGCAGGGACTGGTGACGATGGAACTCGGAGGGAGTTTATAGTGTAACATCGTTGATGCGTCTTGGGTGCACACCGGCCATCCTCCTCCTTCGCATCATCCGTCCTCCTTCGTCGTCGTTGCTGTCCTCCCCCCCTCTCTCGTCCCAATCCTCTCCTCCCCTGGCTTGTGCATCCTCGGCCTGGACCTATGGGCCCGTGCTGCGAGCGCTGCGGCTGCTGGGGCGCGGGGCTGCGCTGCGTGCCGCCGCGGCCGTCACGGTCGATGGCGCTGGCACGGGTACAGGGGCCCCGCGCGCAGAGATGGGTGGCTGAGAAGTTGCCCCCCCTCCCCCCGAAGGACGAGGAGGAGGATGGGTAGGAGAATGAGGAGCAGGAGGCGGAGGAGCAGGAGGATGGGCAGGATGGAGCTGGCGGATGCGGAGGAGGAGACTAAGCAGAAGGAGGGTAGCTGCCCAGGGGAGAAGAGGTGAGAGGAGAAGCGCGAACTTGACGACGACAACGGTACCGATTGAGCATAGGGCGGTAGTTGTTGGGGGGGAGGGAATCACGACGACGACGTTATGAACGAGGGCGACAGACGAGGACAGCGACGACGACGAGGACGAATGAGGCGAGGAAGAGGACGCGTGGAGTGGAGCGAAGTGGAGTGGGATGAGACAGACGAGGAGGGCGAGGAAAGGGCAGATGGAAGAGGAACGGAGGTGCCAGGCGAGTTAGAGGAGAGACGGTTGCATGGAGGGGAGGGGGATGAAACAGGAGGAAGGGATGACAAGGGAGGAGTGGGGTTGAGGAGAGAAGGTGGAGGAGGCGGAGGAGCAGCAGGAGACAGAAGCGGGGGGTGAGGCTAGAGTCTTGGGAAGATGAACAGCAGGAGGAGCGAGGAAGGGTGAGGAGGTTAAGCGAGCCAGAAAGTTTGACGAGGAGGATGTCGAGGAGGAGGAAGAGGAGGAGGAGGAGGAGGAGGAGGAGGGGGAGACTGACCTTACTAAACCCAGTGTGCATCAACAATGCTGCAATGCACCCTCAGGTCTCAAGTTCGCGACCCCGTCGTGGAAAGTATCCTCCCTCCACCCTTTTAGATCAAACAGAAATGCCAAGAGGTAGGATGATACAGTTCGGAAGTGTCCAGCGATCGCCTCGTGGTGCTGAGGATTCGGCCTCCGTCCGTGCACGCGTGGCACGGTCTCGAACTTATGATCATGAGCATAGCGGAATTACACAGCGAGAGGCTGATTGTGAGGGAAGAGCCGCTTTCCACCCTCGCATCCATTGCACAACGTCAGCTACGGGGTCGTAGAAGTTGAACAACTCGTAGGCGATGGCCGCATTTCGAAAACGAGCCAGCAAACGGACCCGCATCCGTCCTTGCAGCTGCTCGTTGTTGCTAACACCGGATGCTCGCGGCGCTAATGCGAGACCGCAAGTTCATCCCCCCACACACACACCAGTAATTGTTGGATGTGTTGAAGACGAGTGTGCGCGGCGCTATGGCGAGATCCTTATTTTGAACCCCTTCCATCCGCGCTCCTGCTGGATTTGAACAAGACGAGCGAGCGCGACGCACGGCGAGAGCCAAACTTTGAAAACGAGTCGGCCTTCATCTTTGTGAGTGCCTCGTTTTGTAGACGACCTTGCTCGGCGCCAGGGCGAGAGCTGCATTTTGCAAACGACGGCTCCTCTGCCGTTGTAACTCTCGAAAGTGTTCACAGCGAATGTGTGCGGCGCGCACGCAAGAGCCCCAAGTTCGAACGGCCGGCCCTCCATGCTTGATACAGTTGGCTCTGTCTAGCTTCAGGGTAAGACTTCGCAAGGAAGTCTCAAGCGTAACGTCTGTCCTGGCCGGCGGACACGCGTGGCCCTGCGACATAAAAGTTATTTTGAAGGCAGATGGATTGAAATATGGGAAGAAGAGGAGGAGGGAGAAACAGGGATAATGACGAGGAGACGAACGAAAGGAAGCGGAGATGAAAGGGGGCGTGTGGAGAGGGGAGGGGGAGGAGGAAAAGCAGGAAGCGGAGCACGATGTAGGAATCTGAGGAGGGAGGGTGGATAACGCGGAGGAGTATGGGGAAGGTGGGAGAAGACAAAAGCAGGACAGTGGGGGGCACAAGTATTAGGAAAAAGGGAGTTTGAATACAAGATGGAGAGATTGCTGCTAAGGTGGAGAAGCGAAGGACGTGAAGGATTAGAGGATGATGGATAGCAGGCGGATGGGGAGGAGGATATGCAGGATGGTGAGGAGGAAGACGGCTATGAAGAGGAGGAGGAGGAGGAGGAGACCGAGGACGAGGAGGAGGAGCTGGAGGAGAGGAGGCGAGTCAATCCCTAGAGATCGGACAGACAGTCTGACAACACCTGGTATTGAGTAACGAAACAGATGAGGCGGAGATGGAGGGAAGAATGAGGAGAATACTTGCATCGGATTTGGATGGAGAGGAAAGGGGAGGAGGAGACTAGATATAGAGAAATCAGGGATGGGGGATCCCAGTCTGGCTTGCTGCTTTCTCTAGCCATCTTAACGGCGTCTCACCGTCACAAGTGGGACGCGTCATTAGGATATGGGGCGCCGCTTTAGGATGCAGTGGCGGCGTCTTCACATCAAAAAACATGCTCTCCGGGAGGGGAGGTCATTTCGAGGAGCGCCTATTTGTCATGATCCCTCTGCCTTCTCCTGCTCCCCACTCCTCCTCCTTCTCCAGCTCAATTTTGGACTCGACCTCCCCCTCCTCCTACCACGGCCCTCCCTCATTCTCCTCGCGTTGAGGCGAATGAGCATGATTCACCTACAATAGATGCGTCAAATCAAAACCGGCCTGCCAACAGGTGCCCCACGAAGGTTTCTTATCCCCCGATGGCCCAGGGTCCCATAGAAGCTCGAGGGTACCTTAGGATCCGCACAGGTTGAACACGAATGTGTCCTAATACCTCTTCCGGAGTATTCCTTATCGCACACGTCTACGGTACACAGGCATCGAATGTGTCTCATGTGAGGTAATTAATCGGATGCTTCCACCGCTACGGCCGTGTACATGTGAAGGTGCTCATGCAGCCGCCGGCATATAAGACGCATTGCGCTTTTCTGTTATATACGTGCCAGCGAAATACATGAGGCATACCTTGCACGTGGCGCAACGTGTCCCTGCGCCGGCTTCACGCCGCAAGTACATAAATTATTGGCGGCATGGGTTTTAGCATCGCAGTCGGCATCATTCCTCCACCACGGCTTATATCATCGCTCTAGACTCGTATTTGGGCCAACGAAGCCAATTCTGGTACTGCAAGTACATGACGGGGCTACTACATCGCACTACGCTGGCTGGATTTGCCGCATGTGCCAACAGAGTCATTACGAGGCCGGCCACTATTCTAGCACGGAGTGGATCAGTTCTATCCGCAGTGTTGATCGCCGTTGCGTGCACGGTTGGATCGTCATTGCGACCTCTTGTTTCCGTAATCATGTTGGTCGCAAGGGGTGTCTATCGGTTCAGTCTCACACTGGACGGCTCTGCGCCGTCGAAGGGGTACCCCCTGATACCCCGTGCCCTAGAAGGCGTGTTGTACCGCTGCTCGCATGGCGAAGGATAAGATGTTGCAGATGGCAAGCTTCGAAAGAAAGAAAGACAAGTGGGACAAGAGACGGGAGACCGAGCGTGGCAGTGGCCGAGTGAACGAGAAGACCACGAAGAAGGGCCAGAAGGAAGAGCAGCACGCCCGCCTGAAGGAGATGAAGGACGGGCGCACCAGGCGTGTGGCCGACGGCAAGGTCTGGAGAGTTCAGCTGGTAGCATCCCTCGCCATCATTGCCGCGTACGTGGTGGTGCTGCTCTTCGCCCTCCCTCGCGGAGGCGTCGGTCACGCGCAAGGGTGACCCGTCGCCGCATGGACCTTCGCTGCGGGTCCCGGCCACCCCCCCCCTCGAAGTGCCCCCCAGCACTGGCCTGCGCGCTTGGGTTGATGGGCCTGTTTTCCACCACCACCACCACCATAAGTTGGAGGGGGAGGGGGTCCTCCTCCTCCTCCTCCTCCTCCTCCTCCTTCTCCTCCTGCCCCTCCTCCTCCTCCTCCTCCTCCTTCGTCCTCCGTGCCCCCTCCAACTTATGGTGGTGGCAGTGGAAAACAGGTCCATGTTTGGCCCCACCGTGGGGCCCCCTTACAGCCGCGCGCCAAGGGTCGCTTCTGCCCAGCGCCGCTCCTGCGCGAAGCCGAACAGGCGGCGGGGCCCCCGCGGAGGGCGCGGAGCAGGCTGCGGCGCCCCTGCTGCTGCCCGCGGCCGTCACCGCGGCGGCGGCCATCGCGCTCGCGGGCGTGTGCTGGTCCATGTCGGGCTGGCGCGACCAGCTCGCCAGGGAGGAGGATCAGCATCGTTCAACCTATCCCCATCCCCATCAGGCCATGCTGTCTCAGCCCCATCATCACGCCGCCCCAGTTGGGCACGTACCCCTCGAAAACCGAAGGCTGGTGGGGCTCAGGCCGTGCCAGCGGGGAGAAGGATCGGAGGTCGGTGGCAAATTTTGGGAGCTTCGCTTGTCCTCGTAACTCCTTTTGAATCGGATGCATTAGCGTGCGCTAGCGTCTGGAAATCGATGGGGAATCACCTTTCTGGCGCCGATCGTCGATGTAGCGTCGATTAGCGTCGGCTGGCGTCGGTTACGGTCAATTCGCAAGGGCCAGCAAGATGGCATCGGATGCTCCCATGAGCTGCAACGGAGCAGGAGCAGCGCGAGGCGGCCAGCCAGGTCAAGGGCCAGCTGGAGAGGAAGCTCACAGAGCGAGAGCGCGAGCAGCGCGCGAAGGCGCGGCGGCAGCAGCAGGCTTCGGGGGCAACGTTCAGGGAGGGACTGGCTCCTCCTCCTCCTCCTCCTCCTCCTTCTCCTCCTCCTCCTCCTCCCCCTCCTCCTCCGGGGGATGCGTCGACCCGCAATGGCCCCTGCGTCGCCGATGGGGGCCTGATTTCCCAAGCCGCCCAGGACCGCGCGGAATCGTCATCGGGGGCCTCTCGCCGACCTATCGGCGACGTATCGCCGATTCCGGGTCGACGTGCCCCCCCCCCCACCGTCGGAAGGCATTCAGAAGCGAAACGGCGAGCTGGCACAAGACGTGGTTGTTTCCCCGGTTTGGGGCGGATGGGGGCCCCCTTGGGGGCCCCCCTGGGGAGCTCAGTGGCCACTTGGAGCCCTCTTGGAGCGGTCTTTGAGCTTCCTGTGGGCATGCTGGCGGCCATCTTGAGCCATCTTGGGGTAATGGTCGGGGATTTTGGGTGAGCATGTCGCTCCGCCGGTCCGGCCCACCACGTTTCGGAGCGACACGCTATCCACATCCCGGTCCTCAGGCGTCCGCGCCCCAAGCTTTCCGAGCCTCCCGCCCCGTGGAGCGGAGCGACACGCTGTCCACTCGCCGCCGGGGCAGCCGCCGCGACACGCTGAGCAAGCGTTTCCCGCCACATCGAGCAATCTTGGAGGCCAGCTCGGGCTCTCCGAGCCGGTCCCCTCCCCCTCCCTTCGTTGCCTCCCCCCCCCGAGGCCAGGGAGGTGCGGGCCCGCCTGCAGCGGCGGGCCGAGGAGCAGGCGCAGTCCCTGCAGCAGGCCCGCGAGATTGCGCGCGTGCTCCGCCTGCGGCGGGAGCGGCGCCTGGCCGAGGATGGGGGGTCCCCAGGCGGATCGGTGACCACACCGTGTGAGGAGGCAGTGGGCGACCTGCTTGCGGCGGCGCGCCTGGGGGGAAGCGAGAAGGGGCGGGCCTTCTCAGAATGTTCGGAAGGCCTCCGGCATTATCTTTAAGTCTTTGAGCTCTCTCCGAAGATAGGGTTCTCAGAAGGCCAGGGGGCGTCTGAGAAGCTCCGCGGCCTTCTGAGAAGGCCTGCACCTTCTCACTCTCCCCCCTGATACGCCCGAGCAACCGTAGTCAAGACGGCCGTGCTGAAAACATTGCGTGTTGGCTCAACGTGTTGTCCCACGTTTAATCGAACGTATCGCGCCACAAATAAGCTTTCAATCTGCGTGTTGAACTGTTCAAGTTGAACTCCGTACCAACACGGGACAGCTGAGATGGGCTGCGGCAATTTCAGGGGGGATTGGCTCAGAGGGAACGCTATAGGCTTCAGATTATTACGTTGGTGCTCGGCGGTTTCCCAGCCTTGGGGTGCGCTCCAGCGGCTGCGCCTCGCCGAGGGCGTTCCGGGCGTGCCGGGATCGTCCCGAACGACCGCCAGAGGCCCGAGGTAAGACCCGAAAACTACGACCGGGGCTCCCAAACGGTGTGGTGACCACACCGCGTGTTGAGTCATGGTGGGCTCGGAGTCACCGCACGGTTTTGGGACTTGGGTCGTTCTCCAAGAACGTCTCGGGCGACTGGGGCCTCCGAGGTACCAAGGCCGTGCGGTGACGGACCGCGCGGTGAGGTCTCTTGGGATTCCGAGGTCACCGCGCGGTCCGTCACCACACTGTTCTGGGCCCCCCGAGAGGAGGCTGCGGAGGCGGCGCACAGGGCGGACGGGGGCAGGCCCTCAGAGGAGGAACAGGCACCTCTGCCACGACCCTTGCCTCGGTTTCGCCCGCTTGGGCCTCCCAACCGCCGGATTCGCCTCGAAGTTCGAGTCCGACCGCAGCCCGGGAGAGGCCCCGGGGAGTGGCGGCATCGGCACCGTTGGGTCCCCCCAGGCTCGACGAGCGGGGCTGGAGCGACGCGCAGCGGCGCAGCCTGCGGGAGGCGGCCGCCAAGTACCCCGAGGGCTGGAGCCACGCGCGCAGGCAGCGCTGGGACATGATCGCCGCCGAGGTCGAGGGCCACGACGCGAGGGCGTGCGAGGAGGAGCTCGCGCGCATGGAGGCGGAGGCGCGAGAGGCCGCCGCCCGCGCCAAGCTGGAGCGCCAGCGGGCACCTCCCGGCGCAGAGCCTGCCACGCGCAGCCTGGAGGACGACCTTGACTGGATGGGCTGCCAGGGGGCGGGCGGGTCCGAGGACGGCGCGCCCGACGACGACATGGAGGAGGACGAGGACGAGGACGAGGAGTTTCAGCGGCCACGGATGGCTCTGGAGCTGGAGCCCGAGCACAAGGGCACCGAGATCAGGCTGCTCGGCATCAAGGCCATGCAGGGCTGCGCCGGCATCCAGGTGGAGCTGTTGCACCTCCAGCTGACATGTGCGGACTGTCGCAGCTCCACCCAAGTCTACCTCTCTGGCGCAGACGAAGACGCCTGTGATGCGAAGACGTGGTGCGAGGGCTGCTCAGGGCTCATCTCGGTGCACCTGCGACCGACCCTGCTACACGCCCAGAGCTCGCGATTGTGCTACGTAGACTGCGTACGCTGCGTGGTAACCGACATGCTGCCGTCGGTTCTCATGAGCAACTGTGCAGAGTGCGATGCGCCTAACGTGCACAAGCAGGAGTTCCTGAGGAATAGGATGGTACATGGAACATGCTTCGAGTGTCACAGCAAGTACGTCTTCGGAGCGGAGTCAATAAAGATTGAACAGGTTACGCCGTGCGATCCTGGGAAGAGTTGCCGCATGGACGGAGCAAAGAAGCAGGCGGGGGATAACGACACGGATCCCATGGACGAGATTGCAGAGGAGCTCAGGTACCTGAGGAAGAAGGCGAAATCGGACCCCCGGCAGCAGCTGATAAAATTGGGCAGCCAGTTGCCGCAGATGGGAGCGTGCAAGCATTTCAAGAAGTCGTACAAGTGGTACCGCTTCGCCTGCTGTGGCCGCGCGTTCCCGTGCCCCGAGTGCCACGTGGAGTCGGGGTGCCCTGCCGCCGCGTTGGGTGCTCACGCGAGTCGTATGATCTGTGGCAAGTGCTCCATGGAGCAGACGTATTCCCCTGCTCGCGCTTGCGAAAAGTGCGGTTTCAGTATGCAGCCCAAGGGCAGCGCCCATTGGGATGACGGCGCGGGGACACGAAATCTGGCCGTGATGTCCTCCAAGGACGCGAAGAAGTTCAAAGGAGGCTTGCGCCAGGCGAACTCAAAAGTCAAGACAAGCAGCCAGAAAAACGCCCGCGTGGGAGCCAAGGCCAAGGCGGCGCGGGAGCACGCGCAGAAGTTCGGCAGGGGCGAGTGAGTCCGAGAATTCGGGCTCCCTCTGGCCCCTCCCGCGCTCCCCTGCCCTCGTCCATTCCACCCTCTCTGCCCCGTGCTTTCTTGTTTCCCATTATTCAGCACGCGCGGCGTGTACATAGTGCATGGCGTAGACCTTGTGCTGCGACATTAACACGCATATAGCGGTTGCTTATTGTTGAAGGGCGGCGCCGTCTCACATCAGTCGCCCAGGCTCGTGAGCCGTGGCATGGCCCTGCGAGTCCGCGAATATTATTTCGTGTTGGAGTCAGGTATCGCACATGGGGCTGGCCAGCCAGGCCGCTCGTGGGGGCCCTGAACTGCGCCGCGACGACCGCTCCTGCACCCCTGCTCGTCCCTCTCCGTCTTCTCCCCGATCCGATTCGATTCGATTTCGATCGAATGGAATCGATTCGACTTCAGATTCCGATGTGGATTCGGCTTCCCAATGGAGGCCTCACGAACCTGCCGATTTTGTCGATTCGACTTCTCCCGACTTGGCTGCCGACTTCCCCCGATCCGATTGATTTCGATCGCCGATCCGACTCATCGATTCGATTCTGGGCTCTCCTGCCCCGCGCCCCCGTTCTCGCCCTCCTCCGCCCCAGAGCGGATGCGCTATGCGATCGCCGTCTCTCTGTGGTGGCACCGGGCGTTGCCCCCTCGCCCCTCTCCTTCCTTCCTTCCACCCCTCCTCCGCCCCCCCTCGCCGCCGCCGCCGCCGTCGGCAGCGTCGTCGTCGTCGGCGTCGTCGGCGTCGTCGTCGTCGTCGTCGTCTGTCGTCTGTCGTCGTCGTCTGTCGTCTTCCTCGTCTTTTCGCTGGGCTCCGCCGCGATGATTGCGCACGAAGTGCGACCAGAGCTTGCCCGTCACCCCATCCGCAGCCATTCGCTCCAAGCGCGCACGCGGGCCCCCGCGGATGGAGCTTGCGCCAGCATCCCCGGGGCGCGCGGGAGTGCCTCGCAAAGCTCGATCGCGCTCGCGCGTGATGCTCTCTCTCTCTCTCTCTCTAGCTGTGGAGCCGTGGATGGGCTTCGCGTCGCCACCCCTTTCGGGTCGGAAGCAAGGGGTTAGGACTGGGAGCGGGGCGGGGTACGAAGTCTGCCGCGCGCTGCTGGTTTCGGCTCCGCGGCCAGGCGCGGTCCTCGCCACACTGGCGCCTCCCAGCGCCGGGGGGCGCAAGGATGAGCTTCGAAACCACGTGAGGGCGACACGAGGAGCCTGGAGCCTGCAGCGGTCTCTGTTGCCACAGAGGTGCTGTGAAGAGAGCCTGATGGGAGCATATTCTGTTTGTTGACCGTAGTTTGAGATTGGTCAGGATGCCTCAAAAGGCCTCCCGAAGGATACACTACGTCCTTGCTTCCTCGACCTGCAAGTCAGTTAGCTCGGTCACCTATGCTGTTGCCAGAGAGAGATCGAGCTGGGGATACTCTTTCAGGTTGCCCTCCACAGGCTTGCCCAAAATGCCGATATCCTGAGGCCTCCGCTTGCTGGTCCGCAGGCCGCCGGTTCCTGATCCCGAGACCCTCAGCTCCTGATTCAGAGGCCCACACTCTCCTCCACGGAAGCTACCCAAAGGCTTCACAGATGCCCTCGACCCCAGTTCAGGTTTGGCCCCGTGGCCGGCGGCTGGACTGGAGCCAGCCATACTTGGCTCCGGCCGTCGAGCAGGGGCCCCACGCCGCCTGGTTCCCTCTCCCGCTCTCCCACCCTCGCTCATCTCATCCCGCCCCCGTGCCCGCAGCTCCTGCTGCGGGTGCCTCCGTTTCCCTGCCCCGGTGTCCCCGTCTCCTGCCGCCCGATGCCCGAATAGATTGGAAGTCCCGAAACGGTGCGGTGAGAGCACGGTGCGGTGAGTTTGGCACGCGCTGGACGGTTCGGTCGTTCGCGCAGCTTGGGCCCCAGTGGTCGCATTTAGCGCGGGGCTCAGGCACTTTGCGCTTGGCCCCGCACGCGCGTTTTGTCTGGGCCGTGGCGCACTGCTTAATGCGCGAAATTGTCGCTCGACCTGCGCGCATGGTTGAGACCGCTGCGAGTATGCTGGCGTGCGTTGTGAGAGCACTCTGGCGCTCAGTCTGGGGCGCCCTCCGCTAGGCGGTTGGATGCAACGTAGGTTCGCGGAGCAAGCAAAGCTCGCATGTTCTTTATCTCCCTCGTCCCCCCTCTCCTCCTCTATCCCTCTCTCCTCCTTCCTTTCCCCCCCTTCCCGTCCCTCCTCTCCTCCTCCTTTCTCCTCCACCTCGTCCGGTTCCCTCCACTTCAGCGCCCTCCCCCTCCTAAGAGCAGAGCGAGCGTTGCCGCAACGGCGGTGGCCAGAAGGGCAACTCGACGAGGCGCATGCCCCACGAGGGCGCATGCCCCCGTCGTGGCGCGCCCAGTCGGTCGCTCAGTCGCCCCCTTTGGCCCCGCCACCTCCTTGGAGGTGGCCCTTGGCCGCCGTAGGAGTTTGCTCCGCACCCCTGGTTCCGCCAGCACGGAATCCCGAAACAAATTGAAACGGGTCACCGCCCGGTTTTGGGGCTCAGGTGTTGTTTGGAGGATGTCTCGAGCGTCGGTGGGTTGACGAGTCACAAGACTGTGCGGTGAACCCCGGTCCCAAAACGGTGCGGTGACATTTCCAGGATTTCGTGGCCGCCCTGTCCCGGCCCCCTTCCTGGCCAGTGCCCGCCTCGCCCACCACGGTCGCTAGCCGCTGCCGCGCTCCGCGTCGAGGACCCCCCTGGGTCGGAGTCGGGTCAGCACGGCGCGGCCCCCCGACGGGAGCTACCGGATGAAACTGAGACGGCATTCTTATATGCTCCAACATGTTGAATACGCCGCGTTGCAGGTGCGGTGTTCGCTGTGCAGGGGTTGGCATCCGTCGGGTGGCGTTTGCGCGAGGTCAGGACGAGAGACGCTAAACGCAAGATCGCAGCATGACGTGCATTATTTCGGCATTCGAGCCTTCGTCCCCCCTTGACCGGCGCCGCGCATGCCGTGGCGCAATAGATTCGTGGCCACCTTTTCGTTGCAGGGTGTAGCCGCCGCTGCAGCAGAGGGCGAGGTATTGCAGCACCAGTGGTAGCATATTGGTTCGGGACTTCCTGATTTGCTGTGGATCCCCTTGTCGTTCGTGGGCGCAGGATGGGATTCGCGCGAACCCCGCCGCGGACCGTTCTGTAGGGGCCTTGAATGGAAACCTTGCCTGCCCAGAAGAATCCTGGGGTCACCGCCCGGTGCCTCACCGCACCGTTTCGGGACCCCCAAGTGTATCCTCGTCATCGCGCCACTTTTAACCCTTCACAGCGTGGCACCATCTGTTTGTCTCTCGCTCCGTTGTGGCGAAGGCTCCCAAATCCTGTGGTGCACGCCTCCACTTCGTTGTCCCTATGCCCCTGCAGGACTTCTACGGGATTCCCAGGGGCATCACCGCAGGGCTCCTCGAGAACCCGTCGGGCCGGACGAAAGGGGGGGATTAGGAAAGGGGGGGGTTACGAAATCTGCTGCATACAGCTGGTTTCGGCCCGACCGAGGGGCCCATTCTTCGATACATAGCCGCCTCCGGCGTCGGGAGGCGCCGGGAAAATCAGCTTCGTCGGCTGATTCTCAAACCCCCCTTTTTGCTATGCCCCCTTTCGCCCAGCCCGAACCCGCCAGGGTTTGCCGGGAGCTGCGCAGATCCTCCTTGCAAGGCATCTCAGAGGCATCCGAGTAGGGCTGCGGAGCGGGACGGCGTGGAAGTGCCTTCTGGGACCGCGTGGCGATTACCCGTAAGTCGGGCCTGTCCTTCTACAGGAGGGATTTTCAACAAAAAAAAGGCTGGGGACGATTGTTTATGACATTGTTTAAGCATGTCTGGAATATTTTTGAACTATTTTTAAATTTTCGCCCCAAATCTCCCTGTAGGGGGACATGCCCGACCTAAGATTACCCCCATACCAACGAGCTTCGCTCGTTGAGAGCCTTCCTGGTGCCATAATGTTTCGTATGCCCTCGTGCCCCTACGCGGGAGACCCCGCCTCGCCAGGAATCAGATTTCTTCGTGGATTCCGGCCGTCTTGGCACCATTTTGCGCCCCCATAGAGGGAGGGGGCATGACGTGTTACCCGGGGCCTCGCTGTTGGAAAGCGCGGAGCGAGGTTTGCGGAGAAGAAGGCCAGGCATGACGACGCAGTTCCGCATGTGTTCGTTCCGCCTTACGTACGCCTTCCCCCACTCTTGCCCCCCCCCTCCCTCGATTCCGCCCGTTTAGCCACTCTTCCTTTTCCCTCCCCCTCCGCCTTTCCCTATCATTCCATACAGTTGCTGGTTTTGCTGTCTCGCTCTCTCTCTCTCTCTCTCTCTTTGTCCCTCCCTTGTATTTCTCGCTCTCTCTCTCTCTCTATCCCTCTCTCTGTCTCGCGTGTTGTTTGTTTGCTTGTTTGTTTATGTTTTGTATCTCTCTCTCTCTCTCTCTCTTATCTATAGCTATATCTGTCCATCTATCTATCTATATATCTATCTATCTACCTATCTATATATATATACATGTATACATATATATATATATATATGTATATGTATATGTATATGTATATATATATATATATATATATATATATATTCCTAGTTATATATTTTTACAGGGCCGGGGACCCCGGAAAAGCGGCACACGGTGCGCCCCCCAAACGAATTTCGGCCTCCCCGAGCCCTTGGGGCGCTCCTGCAGAGTGCTCCGTGTCTGTCCTGCGAGTGCGACGCGAAACAAAAAACCCACGACGGCCAAAGAGGGCCCCGAGACACCCAAAGATCGGCCCAAGACGCCCAATCTGGGCCCAAGACTGCCCAAGACGCGTCCAAGACGCCCCCAGAGACCCCCAAGAGGCCTCCCAAGAGAGCCCCGAGAGGCTACAATTGTTGATTATCCTATGTGTTTTTCAATGTTTTTGGCCTTCTCGCTTTCCCCGCCTCCCGGCGCGGCGCTCCACAATGGCCCAAGAGGCTCCCTAGATGGCCCCAATACTGCCCACGAGGCCCCCAAGAAGGCCCCGACACGGTCCAGGAGGGTTCCGAGACCGCCCAAGAGGCGCCCGAGACGGCCCAAGAGAGCACCAAGACGGCCCCAAGAGAGACCCAAGAGGGCGCCCAAAAATTCAAAAACTAAATTTTCCGCCGCGAGAGGGCCCCAAGAGGCCCGGAGAGAGCCCCATGAGGCCCCAAGAGGCCCCCAAGAGGCCCCAAGGAGCCCCCAAGAGGCCCCCAAGCGGCCCCCAAAAGATCCCCAGAACCCCAAAACACCCCCAAGAGGCTTCAAAACTGCCTCCCAGAGGGCCCCGACAGGCGCACCACGAGATCCCAACACAGCGGTCTCCCCCTCTCATTATCCCTTCTCTTTGTCGTCGC